ATTAATGGTGACACATTGGTGTCTCTGTCTGCACATCCATTAGCCTCTCATCGGGGCATGAGGCAATTTCCTTTGTATTTCATTATTCAGTTTACATGACCGCCTTGCTTTGACGCTCCTGGAGCTCACTACTTCTGGAATTCATAATCACTGGATGTTTGATGGCTTCTTGTAAATAGTGCCATAGGAGAAGGGGCAAGGATTCTGGTTTCAATCATTTGTACTTTCTTGGGATGGAATGAGATTTCCTACCCTTGACCATGTGGGGATGACCTCACTCACTCAAAGCTAAGTCCAAGGATTTTTGTCAGCTTAGCATTGTCTTAACATGCCATGGATAAGGGGGCGATTTCAATATTTTTCTTTTCCTGATGACTTTTGGAGATCATCTACTACTAGACTGAGCTGCTTAGTGTTTTGCAAACCTCTCATCTGATAGGACCTAGGCTTTGTCTCTGCATTTCCTACAGAAGTGGTTCGCAGTCCTGACTGCACATTTTAATTACTGGCAGAGATTTAAAAAAAAAAAAAAAAGCCCCACCCCTAGTGATTCTGATTCAAAGGGCCTGGTCTGGAGTCCAGCTTATTTCAAAACACTCCCCAGGTGAGGGTTGATTGTATTGTACAGGTTGCCTCTGGCGTCTAGGACAATTCCCCTGGAAGGGCAGGTGGTCTCTAGGAAATGGCAGTTAAATTGGACTGCTTTGATAGATAAAGGGGCTACACAGGAACAGATGATTTGAGGCAAGGACATATCTACATATTTCATTGCAGATACGGTTGCCTTCAGCAGCCCATCATTTTGAGGTAAAATTATAGGGGCCTGAAGGTCACACCTTAGTTTGGCTGGTAACTCTGCTTTGTTTTATTGTCCTCCTTTGGGTGTTGTGCCTTAGTTTCCTTATCAGTAAAATGGGGATAATCATATCTGAGGTCATACCTTTGTTTGAGGCAAAAACCGGTACCAGTAAACATTTGCCACAAAGAGCTTTGTGTAAAATTGACAAATTGCTGTCATGCAAACACAGATAGGAGATGGGGAAGTGGAAGCACTAGAACTGAATCTGTGTTCTTGTCAAAGCCGACTGATGGGGTTCAGAGATGACACAGGAATCCTCCTATCAAATCCTAGCATTGTGACATTTGTGTCACTGAAGGAATGCCATGTCACTTTTGTGCTAACTGAAGAAGTTCTGGGGGCTAGACCTTTTCCATGAGTCAGAAGTGCTATTGGCCAGGACCTCAGTGTGAAGGGGGATGATGGAGCCCTGCTCTGACCACCAGTGCCTTGGGGACCTTGCACTCTGCAGGGAGGCCCAGGCCTGCAGCCATCCACATCAGCAAGAGTGCTTGACCGAGTGCCCAGCTCACAGGTGTGGAGTGACTACTTCGGATCCTGATTTCCTGAGATGAATCCCTTTCCTCTTCAAATTCCCCAGCCCTAGCTATAACTGGAGCTTCTCCCTGTGTATACAAGGCTCACATTTGCCTCTGCCCCTGCCAGACATGTCCCGTGGATCTCAATCCTGCTTGTGTTCCCATCCACCTCTACCTAAAGTCAGTCCAGCCAGCCCTATGGGACCACAGGGAGCAGCTTCATGAGGGAGCCATTGAGCCATCTGCCCCACCCTGGCCCCAGGGCTTAATGCCCCTCCTCATATCTGACTTAAAGTCTGAATTGCTATGTAATGTTATTCTTTAATTACGTCTCCCTAGAGACGAAAACTAGATGATTCCCTCTTCTATGATAGTTGTGCTATTAGTGAAGGACTGGACACTGTCACCTTGGAATAAATCTCCCCAGTACTTTCAGTTTCTCTTAACAGCCTTGAGTTATCTCCCCCCATCTCCTCTCAGCTATGGAGCGTCAAGCCACATATAGGGCCTTAGTAACGACAATCAAGGACAACTTACTTTACAGATGGGAAAATGAGGCACCGACTTTTGATAATGTGTAACTGTAACAAGTGAATGGGACCTGAAATGAGGACTCTCATTTCCCTGGAAGGGGCAGAGCGAAGGGCAAGGGTGGCAGTGGATAAGGACAACAGTGATGGTAGAGTACCATTTAAGGAAACTTGGGTTGCACAGGCAAACATCTTCACTTTATGATGGACATCTCACTTTTCTCACTTATAAAATAAGAAAAAAAGAGCACTTAACCTGTCAGAATGCTGTGAGGATTAAAATAAATATATCTAAAAAGGACTGGCACAAGTTTTGGCACTTAAGAGGAGCCTGATAAAAGGCAGTACATACACATGTGAGCATGCACGCACATGCACCCATGAAGCGGGTAGCTGTGAGGAGTCCCTTTCCAAGGCTTAGACATAATCCACAGGTCCTCTGAGATAGCTTCTGGGAACATTTGTTTCTGTAGGACCCCGGAACAGTCATTTCAAAGCCCTTCCTTCAAGCTTGGTCTCTGTGGAAGGATTCAGGCTGTAGAAAATGACCTGTAAGACCCCCAAGATGGCTCTCTCTGGCCACCTATATCCAGTTGCACAACCAGAGGCAGAGGCTGCCCAGATGGCAGCTCTCATCCCTCCATAGCTGTGATTCCTGAAATGAGTTGGAGTACAGAGGTTCAACAGCATCTTTATAATGAAATGAGGTGATCCTAAGCAAAGCATTTAGCCCAATCCAGGATGTGTAGTAAGTATTCAACAAATGTTAACAGTTCTTAATAGTACATAGTATTTTTAGATACAAAACTAGGTTCACGGGTCAGAGTGCCTCCAAATGTCTGTCTTTTGGCTTAGGGGACAGATGAATAGGCTATGCATTAGGGACAGTCCACGGAAAGTCTATCCCACCTACTGGCATCTGTGCCATATTTATTTATTCATTCATTCATTTAGTACACATTTATCGAGCACCAATTATATGTGTAGCCCTGTGCTTGGCACACAATCCTTTGATCTTTGGTGTTCGTTCATGGCTGTGAACAGGGTTGGTACTAGCACACATAGTTTTACACCAGGAAAATCCATTTCTCAACACCACCTCTCGCTCTGCCTGCTGATGAAGATATAGAGTTAGGGGGAGCTCTGATGATAACACCTTGCATCCTATGGGTGGAGTGTCGGTTTAGTCAGGTGTATATTTTACAGATAAGGAAACAGGCCTCAGAGGGTAATACTTGCCCAAGTTCAATAGCAACTTAGCGGCCATCTGAGGCTAGGATCTGGTTTTCTGATTAGGAAACAAAGGCTCTTTCCACAGCTGCCTCTGTATTAAAGGTACAACTTGTCACATGTTTTTATCCACACACAGGTGTTCTTTTCCTTTTTGAAGAGCTGCATTTTAGGCTTAAATGAAGTAGCTCTTGAATAAGTCTAGAACAGTGGTTCTCAGCGCTGACTGTATTAGATCATCTGAAAAGCATTTCAAAAATACTGATGTTGGAGCCCCACCCCAAACCAATTAAATAAGCATTTGTGTGGGTGGAACAAGGGCCTCATATTGGTTTTTAAAGCTATCCAGGTGTTTCTAATATACAGTCACTCTAATATACAGTCAGTGGTCCAGAGAGCAGTGCTTCCAAAATGTTAATGCACAATTGAATTATCAGGGGATCTTGTTAAAATGACCATCAGGTCAAGTGGAGTTGGTGAGTCCCCATATCTAACAAGCTCCCAGCTGATTTTAATACTACCCAGGCCATACTTGGAGTAGCAGCTCCAGAAGGTGCTCTGGGATTCTAGTCATCCACTGGTCGCTGGTTACTCCAGCCAGAAGCCCAGAAGTAACCTCTATCTTTTGTTCTCTCCTCATCTGCACCCTACTGGGGTTTTGGTCACTAGGTCTTGTCAATTCCATCCCACAGCCCCCTACAGCTCCTATCGTCTCTTCATGGGCTGGTTCAACATTTTCTTCCCTATTCTTACACCATCACCTGGCTGTGTTCCCTGTTAGATTGCCTCCCGATGTCATTCCTTCTTTTCCTGTGTCCATGCTGTTTTTATTCTGCAGGAAGTTCTTCCAGTCCTTGACTTATCTCACCGCCGGACCTCTTCTCTGCCCACACTAACCACAGATGCCAATTGTCTAGAAACAACATGCCCTTCTGGTTTGTTTCTGCCCAGTATCAGGATCTCAATAAATAGTCATTAAATTAACATTAAATTAACAAACAAAACCCCAACTCTGAATAAGTAAGGCCAAACAAAGACCTCAGCTACTCTCCTTCCAATCAAAATGAACATTCCTTCGAGATTATGCATTAGGCTTTAGACTCCCCATTGCGGGAGGGAAAGAAAAAAAAAAAAAAAGACTGATCAAATTAACAAGTAAGTACTTATTTCCTGTCTGGGTTAGGTGGTTTAATATAGGTTCAAAAGCAGGCAATAGGACAGGAATGAGAGGGTGGATGCTAGCAGGAGCTTGGAGGTCTGCTTTTAAATCTGGGCTCGTCCCTGCATGGGGAAAAGCCACAGCTCCGTGACAAGGGTGGGCACGACCGATGGGGAAACTTCCGGGGCCCTGGAGGTGGTAGCGTGAGGAGGCAGGCAGGAGTTCGCGAGCGTGAACTAACTTGGCGGGGAGGGAGGCGCCGCACGCTGCAACCGTTCAGGTTTCGTGTCTTCCGAGCGCCCACATGAGCCGCAGGCTTGGGGAAGGGGGCGGGGGAGAGGGAGGGCAGGGCCGGAGCAGAGGGGGCGGAGGAGTGGGGAGACTGAAGGAAATGAGACAACCTTTTCCTCCCACTGACTCGGGCTCCTCCAGTGTCTGCGGGGCTCCGCACAGCCGCCCATGAGCACCGAGGAGGGGACCCTGCGCCCCGCGCCGGCCCCGGCGGCTCCTGCACTGGGATTTCTTTCCCAGGCTCCAGCGCCGGCCTAAACCCGGGGCACCGCTTTGTCGCGTCCTCCCCTCGGTGACCCGCGCCAGGTCCCCGGCTCGGCCCCGCGCCCCGCG